AGCAAAACTGAGGCACGCATCCTTTATTTGAGTCATGTCCGTGTAAACATCGTCACTCTCGCTCGGCTGGGTTCCGGTGAAGTAACCTTTGGTCTTCAAGCGGTCGATAAAAGCCACCCACTCGGGCCAGGGATGGAGCAGCGGCGCTTCTGTGCTGTTAGCGGTGACGCTATCAATAGTTTCAATTGAAGCGGAGGAAGAGCTGTACCTGGGGAAGCGCAGAGATTGTGAGGCAGCGAAGGGTTTGAGAGAATGAAGTGAAGGGGTCGCAGATATAGTTCTTATGGGAGCATGGAACAGTGCTGCGGTTCCAAAGCGTATGAGCTTTGAAGCAGCTGACATTTCCCTTCTTTTTCTTCTTCGTTATTGTGTTTTGTGGGTGAAATGGTGTGCCGGTGGAGCTCACAATTTGTGGGTAACTGGTATGAGAGGAAGGAGGAGAGGGTTTTGTAAAGTGAGAACTTTGGGATGCTGGGTTTTAGAGAGAGGAGATTATTGGGAATATATAATTTTTTTTTTCTTTTGGCCCCGAATGAAGAAGCTTTATTTATTTATTGACAAAGTTAAAGAAAATACATAAATATGAGATCAACAAGAAGAAAATTAATATATTGGTATATACAAAAAACCAATAAAATAATATTTACCCCCCAAAATTAACAATAAATTTAGGATGGTAGATCCAAACACCCGCGGGTGATGCGAACGTAGCCAAAACCCCACACAGTTGGATCACAAAACTAACATAAACCCTTCTCCCCTTCTCTCCTTCTCCAGAAGAGTCTACCAAAGCAAATCACTCAGCTTTCTGCTTCTGCTTCTAGTCGCTCCACCATGAGAAGGGCTTCAACTCTCGCCTCATTCAACGTCCTCTCCCGATCCCTCGCCACCGTTCACGGCGGCGCCGCTGCCACGTCAGCCTCCCCCAGCCACGGTCTTCTCCAGGTGGCTCTCTACGGTACCTCCAGCACCACCGGTTCTCATGTTCGTCGTCGGTGGTTCGATTCATTTTCTGGCGGTCCAGCTGGCAAGCTGGCTATTGGCGTTGCTGGAACTCTGGCTTCGGTCGCTGTTGCCTCGTCACTCACTCAGGAGGTCTATGCCAAAGAGCCGCCTCCGGCTGAGCTTGTTCCAAAGGACGTCGTGCTATACCAGTATGAAGCCTGCCCTTTCTGCAACAAAGTTAAAGGTGAAAAATGTTCTCTTTCTCTTATGGTTCTTACTTCTCTTTGCTTGTTGAATTGCTTTTGAGGTTCGGTGTTTTTGCTGCCTTTGAATATTTCGCGCAAATGTTTAAATTTTTCACTGAATATCAGAAATTGGACGAGATTTCATGTCGAAATATTGGATTTTAGTGTGGATGAAACATTCATTTGAATAATATCCAGTTGGTTCAGCATTTCTCTGCAGTCTCACAGCCTATCATGGTTAAATGACAGGAAAAGAACAAACTATACTTGTAGTTCGCACTCTATTTGGAATTTTCTGGTAAGATTTGAACGTAATTTTGAACAAATAGTGCACTGGGGTTGCTGGTAGCATGATAGGAAATAGCCATATGAACAGTCAATAAATTTGCAACCTTGTCAATCATTTGGTGTTTTGGTGTTCTTTCGGTTATTCTCGAGCACATTCAATTTTTTTTTCCTATTATGCCCCTTTTCTTTTGTTATGATTCTATTAAACAACCGTAATTTTATGTTCTTTTCCATTTATCATGCTGTTTACAAATTGGCCACGCTTTATTGTTGTCTCAGCATTCTTGGACTACCACGATATACCCTACAAAATTGTGGAGGTCAACCCACTTAGTAAGAAAGAGATCAAATGGTCTGATTATAAGAAGGTTCCTATATTGATGGTGGATGGGGAACAGCTGGTTGACTCATCAGGTATCTGTCCTTGTGGTTGTTCTTAGATTGCTGAGTTTTCTGGTTGGATTTCTAATTACAATATTATGGTGTATGCATTGTTGAATATATATTTAGGTACTAGATTTACATATCTAAATTGAAATTGAGTGTGTATCTGTTTGCAGCTATAATTGATAAGTTGAATGAGAAAATTGTTCCTGAGAGAGTAGCCGCCCCTTCCTCAAATGATGATGAAGAGAAAAAGTGGCGCCAGTATGTTATCTTTTCCTCCATAGCTTATTATGCTTATATTCATATTTGGATAAAAGCGGAAAAACAGTATACTTATACTTTGAGTAGTTTTAGGGAAGGCCGCAGGTTTAAGCTCCACTGGACCATGATCTTAATGATACTATTATCTAAGAAACAAAGAAGAAAGAGAATGCTGCAAGAAATTCTCACCAGAAAGAATAAAAGAAACTATGCTTTGAATTAGACTCGCCTCCAGTCCTTTGGATTAGTAATTTTACAGCCCAACTTCCTGGAACTTTAGAAAATTCTGCTTGTTCTGATAGTTTATAAAATGGGAAATGAGCTCAGATATTTTCTGAAAATGGTTTTTATCATTATACCTTGATTCAGATATAACACTTGGAGAATCCTCTGTAGAGTTACATGAATTTTGGTTGAGAGAATTATGATTTCATTTTGTGTGAATTTGGTGACGGAAATGCAAAACACTCACTCTTTTGTCTTTTTTTTTTTTAGTTACAAAACACTCACATATTATTGATGTAATGATTAACGAGTAGTTGCATATTACTCTTATCTATGGACCTTCAGCTTTGAAGCTGAAAGAAATATAACTTCAATTAGTGGATATTGGCAAGACGTACAAAACTATCTCAATTGCATATTGTTATTGTGTTTTCTGAATTGATGATCAAAACATTTTAAAATAATTAGTGCTATTCTGTGGCTCTGTGTTGTCTTCTTACCGTCTATTGTTGTGGCATACCTTGAGCTTTTACTGAATGGTATCTTTGTATCACTAACTTTTACAGTCATGATCATGTATTACTTGGTTACAGGTTTATTACTATAATTTTTTATTCCTTCATTGTTCTTGTTATTGTGGGATAGGTGGGTTGATAATCACTTGGTGCATATGTTATCGCCAAACATATACCGAAATACATCTGAGGCCCTTGAATCCTTTGACTATATAACAAGCAATGGTATGTAGATCCCATCTTATGCAGCCATATTTTTGGGCCTACTAAGACAAACTCCCTTTCTTTCTTCAGTTTGTGTTAGTAATATTTACTCTCTTCAGTTTTATGTAGAACTGCTTGACCATTAGATTTTGGTATTTTTTTTGTTTTCTGATGTAGTTTTGCTGTAACTGCAGGTAATTTTAGCTACACAGAAAAATTTACAGTGAAGTATGCTGGTGCTGCGGCTATGTACTTTGTGTCAAAGAAACTGAAGAAGAAATATAATATTACAGATGAACGTGCATCCCTGTATGAAGCAGCAGAAACATGGGTTAATGCTCTTAATGGGCGGGACTTTCTTGGTATGTGCTCTAACTTGGGTCATATGCACATGATGTCACATAGATATGACATGCATACTTTTTAGTTAATTGGTGATCAAGGGATACATGCATTAAGGGACACAAGCAGAAAAACATATTGATGAATATGCTTAAAAATGAAATAAAATAAAATACTCTTGACTGGGAGATGATACTTGAATCAGGAGAAAGTTGCTTGTCTGGAAAAAATTGCAAGTTTTAGTCTTCTAAAATTCGAAATAACTATTGTATGATGGGAACACTATCATTAGTATGAATAGTCTCAAGCAATTTTGTAGCTTAAGGTGTGAGGTCTGTTTGATGGCTGACTAGAGTTTTAGCATGATCCCTCAACTTTTTGCCTTGAGGTGAGCCTTAATAAGTAAGCTCTGACAACTAGGACTTCTGTTATGTCATCCTTGTTTTTATCTCTCTCTCTGGAATGATGTTCACATGCATACGTTGCTTGTGTCAGGGGGCTCCAAACCTAATATGGCCGACCTTGCTGTTTTTGGGGTGCTAAGGCCAATTCGTTATTTGAGGTCTGGTAAAGATATGGTGGAGCACACACGCATAGGCGAATGGTACTCAAGAATGGAGCGTGCCGTTGGAGAGTCTGCAAGGATTAAAGCCTAAATTGGATATCCTATGGAGTTTGTAGCTGGATTATACACTTCAATTTTGAGTTTGCCCTTTCTATAAGCAAACTACATCAAATACGAAGAAAGAAAGATTTTTCAGGAGACACTCGCAGTTATAAATGAATTGAAAACAGGCAACCTTTTGCTATTATTTGGTTATCTGGAAAACTGAAATTGTTTATTGTTACATTAGATACAATTGTTTAGAAGTACAAGGAATAAGGTAATCACAGTGTGGAATTTATAACCAGGGGTGTGTCCCTTGTGGTGACTTTTGTCCAATCAATACTAATGTCTACTCATTTTAGATTGAATTTTTTTGTAGAACAAGCTTAGGCTCTTTTTTGCGGTGTTAATGGTATTGAATTTGGTGTTGGAGCTGATTGCACCAAAAACAAGTCCCTTGTGGGCGCTATGGCGACATCACCCACAAAATTTTGCGGCTTTTCCCGATTACCAACAATTCTTTATGCTCTACCCATCTCTTTCTAAAGAAGTATAAATGGCAGCTCTAATGAAGTTATATGTGATTTCTTTTTCTTTGTTTCTCCGATTTATAACTTGTAAGCTGCTTTTATTAATGATCAATTTAATTCACATTGGATGTCCAAATAAAAGGGAAACATAGGTGATAAGCATTTTGCAAAATTAGTTTTAGTCTATGAAGAAAAGACAGATATTATCATGGTTTTGAATGATAGCTTTGCTTCTTTGTCTTCATCAGGTGCACAGCAACCGGTCACTCTGGAAGCAGAAAGGACCAAAGGACCACATTAACATTATATTAAACTTAAGGGCGAAAAATAGAAATAAAAAAACGAAATACAATCTTGAAAAGAGAAACTTGGAGGGCCTAAGACCAAAAAAACAAAAAAAGAGAAACTTGAAGGACCTACCCGATATTTCACTTTATGAATACAAATTACAATACAGTCATAGCCTCAAGAACCGTCTCCGCCTAGGTTACGCTGCGCTGGTCACTGCGTTATCCTCTTCTCCCTCGCCCCTCTCTCTCTCTCAAGTTTCAATATAAAAACCTGGACTTTAATAGTTTCGCAACTCCGGAGGGTTTGAGAAATATCGTAGACAAACATGGCGTCTCAATCCGCCAATCTGTGGGTTCTACTGGGTTTGGGTTTGGCAGGAATTCTGTTTATGACAAGGAAGCTTAAGAAGACCATCAGAGAAGACTTTGGTGCCTTTATTGAGAGGCTTCAGCTTCTCCCTCCTCCTCAGCCTGCTCCTCCTAAAGCTCCGCATCCCCTCACCGGCCTCACCTTCGCCGTTTCTGACGTGTACGCTCTCTACCACTTCCTTTGTTATTCTTCTGTTTGTCTCCTGATAAAGTTAAAAGCCAATAAAGGGATATTATAAGATTGAAGAGTAAAAACAAAAATACGGAACTTTTGAAAATATGGTCTTTGCTTTTGCTCAGCTTTATGCTCATTGAAGTAATGAAATGGAAGTTGAGGTTACTATTATTAAATAGCCAAAAGAATTAGTTGAATTGGGTTGGAACCCAGATGGTGAAAAAGCCTGAAATTTATGTCTTATCCTTTTATTTTCTGTATGGTGTTTTTCAACGTAGGATGCACTAATAAGACGGGCAGACTGATTTTGGTTATTCAAAACTAACTTATTGAACTTGAGTTATGTTATAGGTTTAGTTTCATTGTACTTTATTATTTTGATTTCCTTATCAAATGCAAGTAATTTGTATCATTGTGTTATAGAACTATTTGTTTGCCTTAAAGTGGATAAATTTGTATCATGGTTGGCAGATTTGATATTGAGGGACATGTAACTGGTTTTGGTCATCCTGATTGGGAAAGAACACATGATGCAGCTTCTCGGACGTCTCCTGTGGTTTCAGTTCTTGTCGAAGGAGGTGCCACATGCATTGGGAAAACCGTTGTGGATGAATTGGCATATAGGTATGTATTGCTATGAGCACACACTTTGGATGTTCTGTCAACAGGCTGAAGGTGTTATTCCTCATTGCTGTTGTGAATGGGGAAAAAAATAATTTGATCTGAGGACCCATTTTCCTTTCAGTTTATCCAACTCTAGCTTTAGTTTGGATTACATAATGTCAATTCCTTTCTGCATGTTTGTTTTCAGTATTAGCGGAGAAAATAAGCATTATGCTACCCCCACCAATCCGGCAGCATCTTCAAGAACACCAGGTGGATCCTCTAGTGGAGCTGCTGTGGCTGTAGCTGCCAATCTTGTTGACTTTTCACTGGGTGAGCTTCTTGTTTTTCTTATCTTTTCTGAAATTTTCTTTATCTTCTTTACATTTCCCATTAAGTTTTGTTATTAGTCATTGACCATGGAAAATCATTGAAAGCACATATGAAGGCTTGAGGGGGTTATTTTATTTGTTTAATTGGCATTAAAGGCAATTGAGTTGGTTCTTTATTGGATTTGGTTTCATTTTCCTATCTTATCTGAAATTCTCTTATTTTGAGGCATTTTCATAATATTATGATACCTTAAAATGCTCATTTTTCAACAGGGCAGCGTATTTTACTTTTTTGTTTTTGAAATTTGTTATTTTCAACATATATGCTTATGTATCTATGTCGAAGCAGATATCTGCTTGAAAAGAAGAATTGCCGATCTCAAACTAATTATGAAGACGTATAAGTTTCTTTGTAGGAAGGCTTGATATAAATCGTATAGATTTAAATATATTAATATCATCACGTTCACTTCATGCTAACACAATGACGCAGGTATTGATACTGTCGGTGGCGTTAGAGTACCTGCTGGGTCTTGTGGCGTTATAGGATTCCGACCTTCACATGGGGCTGTTTCTCACAATGGGATTATACCTGTTTCTACAAGTCTTGATACCGTTGGTATGTATGGTTACAATTTTGTATGCTGCCATGATGCAGGAGTATTTGATCATGTGCAACTATGCATACCTGATTACTTTTTTGTTAAATAATAAATTTTCATCATAGCAAACATTAGCAGAATGCTATCTGGCATCCCTTAATGTTTTCAACTTTTCATATTGTTTGACTTGTAAGATTATGTGTGCAGGATGGTTTGCTAAGGATTCTAGTGTCCTACGTCGTGTTGGACATGTTCTGCTGCAACTTCCTTATGCAGTTTCACGCAGTCCAAGACAAATTGTAATAGCTGATGATTGCTTTCAACAAGTAAAGATTCCTGTTGACAGAATTGTTCAAGTGGTCACCAAATCCACTGAGAAGCTTTTTGGCAGTATGCTTTTTTCCCTTGACTTCTGTTCTATGCTCCCTGTCCATGGTGGACCACTGTTTTTGAAAAAAATTCTGAATGATTTCTTCAGGACAAGTATTTAAACATGAAAATCTAGGGGACTATTTTAATTCAAAAGTCCCAAGCTTGAAAGAGTTTCATGGCCCAAAGACAAATGGTGAAGTCAAGACTTCATCCATAAAATTGCTTGCCAATGTTGTGCAGCTTCTTCAAAGGTGAGGTTACTTAGTCACCAGTCAACTTTCTGAATACTGTATATGTCATAAATCATTGAAGATTATATGTCATAAAAGAGAATTAAAAAAATATTTAAAAAAACCATATATCTCCCTCCACCCCCTATGCTTGTATAGTTTTCTGGAAACCTTGACACTGAAGGTTTCTGTGCTTATATTCTTTTCCTTCTATTCCATTTATCTGTATTCTGCTCTTATGTTTGATTTGGATGGGGAAAGTTGAAAGTCTTAAAAGTGAGGGAAAGTGTTCGCAAGATGATAAAATTTTAGAAGTAGTAATTTCCAACCAGAGAAAAGTACTTGGCTAAATATTCAGGAAATGTCCAGAAAATAGGATGGAACGTTAGGTATTTTATGTAGTGAATTCATCACAAATCCTTCAGATAAAAAATTATTATCCTCGTCCATCTAGTTATGACAATCTATAACGAACACCTTTTGCTTCTGGTTTCAATTTCTTGTATGGTGCATTCTTATAGGTCCATATGAGAAAACAGTTCTCCACTTTGTTCATTCATTTATCCTTTTTTGTGATATTTCCTGATAATATGTTGATTGAGATTTCTTGTGGTTCCTTTTAACAGACATGAGTTCAGACATAATCATGAGGAATGGATTAATTTGGTGAAACCTGTATTGGATTCTGCTACTTCAGCACAAATATGTGGACCACTGGACGCATCAGATGAGGAGATTGAGATCTGCAAGTCAATTAAGAATGAATTGCATGCAGCTGTCAACTCTTTATTGAAGGTAATGATTGAGATCCGCAAGTCCATTAAGAATGTGTTTATCGAAGTTTGCTATATTGATTATACTTTTGTGTTTTAATTTCTTGTGTAGGATGATGGAATTTTGGTGATCCCAACTATAGCAGATCCCCCTTCAAAACTTGGTGGGAAGGACATCCTCTCTGAAGACTTCCGGAGCCGTGCTTTTGGTCTATTAAGTATTGCTAGCCTGTCAGGTTGTTGTCAGGTGGAAATCTCTCTCTCTCTCTCTCTCTCTCTCTCTCTCTCTTTTTGTGGCTTTTATAAAAGGTAAAGAGATGTTATGGTTTACTAGACTGTTATTTTCTGTCTTGGGTCTTTAAAATTTGGAGGATCTTTACTAGGCTGTTATTTTCCTATCAATCTATGCTTTCGTTACGTAGTGATAAGTTCGTACTGACTATAGTTTCTCCTAATCAAGTATACTCCGTTGATGTTCTACTCTTCAGGTCACAGTACCGCTGGGATCTCATGACAAGTATCCAGTTTCAGTTTCATTCATAGCCAGGCATGGGGGTGATCGCTTTTTACTAGATGCACTGCACACTATGTATGCATCTTTACAAGAGCAGGCTGATATTGCTTCAAAATCCAAATTATCCAAAAATGCTCTCACCAGGGAGCAATCTGCTGAAATTGCCAAGGAAAAGGTAGAGCATCTCATGATTGTTGTCCATTTGCTTTATAAGTTGTTGCTGTTTTTTTCGATTTTCTTTGTAACATGACAGCATTGGGATGTTAAATTTCTATCGGACAATTATTTGGTAAACTAGTTTGTATGTCTCACTTGGATTTTGCATAATATATTTAAGTTATAGTCCGTTGACTTAGTTTCTCTTATTTTGCATGGAAAAGTTGAAATTACCTCTAGGATCTGGAGTCTTGATCATTAAGTTATTGTCGAACCACTAATTTTTCTACCAAGCCATATTTGCATAATGACTATTCATGTTTGTTTTGGAATTTTGCATTTTCATATCCTAAATACTCTTCTATTATCTTTACCATATATTTAGGGAAACCAAGCCTACAAAGACAAAGAGTGGCACAAGGCTATTAACTTTTATTCAGAAGCTATCAAACTTAGTGGAAATAATGCGACCTATTACAGTAACAGGGCTGCAGCATATCTTGAAGTTGGAAGGTATTTATTTGGTCGGGGATTTATTCTCTCAATTGAGTTTTGGTGGTAGGTTTTTGACTTATTTCTTTCTCTCAACCAGTTTCCTTCAAGCTGAGGCAGATTGTACTAAAGCTATCAACCTTGACAAAAAGGTAACTTCTTTTTTCCAAATACCTATTGGATTTTGCATTAATATGGGTTGGATGTTACAGACCCCATGAAGCTCATTTTGTGCCATTTACTAATCATTGTTATATGATGTCACTTGATAAAGAAAATTCTTGTTCTTTACATCAGCTAACTGAATGGAGTAAATATAGTTTGGTCATGTGAAGTTCTTAATTTGTATGCAAACAAATTTAATATAATTATAATTCTACGTTGTTATGATTAATTATTCTTTATTATATTTGTCTTGATATTTTTCTATTATGTTCTTCCAGTGCAAATTATTTTGTGCATTTTTATATTCAAAGTAAAATAACATTGTTGCCTACTGTTATGTTTCTTCAGAATGTGAAGGCTTATTTACGAAGAGGCACTGCAAGGGAGATGCTTGGTTACTATAAGGAGGCAATTGAAGGTGAGATTTGTTTGTTTATTTATTGGTTAATATACTGTTCCTTTATTTAAGCCAAATCCAGAAGTGTAAAAGCCTTGGGGAAATAATTCGTACTGGGTACAAAATAGATATATTTGAGATTGGAAAGTTCCTGTCAAAATACACTGAAAAGATGTGTAGGTTTTACCGGTTTCAGTTAGTTTTTTCTATTCTTTTTAGAAATCATTCAGTCTAATCTCGTGAAGTTGTTGGTTCAATGGAATTTCACCCTGCAGACTTTAAGTATGCACTTGTACTCGAGCCAACCAACAAAAGGGCATCCCTTTCTGCTGAAAGATTGAGGAAGCTGTTTCAGTAGGTGACCAAGTCTAAGGCATGCCTACTGGAAGCACAAGAACAAGATTTTGTTTTGAAAGTACTTGAAGTGTGCTCTGCCGATAAGACCCATTCAGACAGGCAACAATCTAAACCATTCGGACGAGAAGGGATGTGTTTGAGTGGAGTTGAGATTCTTCACTCTCACTCTTAATCAAGTTGTTTTCAGGGGTCTGAACTATTGTTTGATTTGATCAGTTTTTAGGAGCTTTAGATTATTATTGTCACCAAAATATGTAACTATAGTCCAATTTTGTTTCTCTAAGATTACGGTTGTAATTCTAGCTTCGAGGTGAGGTTTAAAGCTCATTAATGGCTGAGCAGAGTAATTACATTTTTTAGCTCTGTTGTCACGATTTTTAGCAGTTCACTTTTTATTTGAAGTTAAACTTCCGCTGCTCGTGTATATGGCGTTCGCCTTGTTACCAATGAGCTGGTAATCATGCAAAGAATCTGGCACTTGTGGATGAGTTTTTGCCTGCCAGATATGACCACTACATCTAGTTTCAACTGTAAATTATTAGTTTTAGGGTGATGCGAAAATTGTAATAGCATTCAGGCTTCGACCAGGAACTTGACATTTCAATGATTAGTCGTTGATCAGAACTAAATCAGTCTGCAAACTATTGTTGACCAAGCTTCAAAAGAGCTCAATGCCTAAAAGTTCCCTTTGCAAGATTCTATAATATTTCTTTCTTTTACCAGTCTCAGAGCGGATTATCTGACACGAAAACAAAAAAAAACCAGAAGGCATTATCACTGTAGATGCAGAAGAAACCGTTTGAGTAAACTATACACTAGCACTAGCGAGGTTCATTTCACGCTGTATTCTAACATGTACTTGCCTCAGTCAAATTCAAAAAGATCCAGCTCTTCTTCTGTATACTCTGGGAGTGAAGTTCTCGAAATTAGTGGCTGCCTCTGCCTTTTAGCTCCAGTTATTCTCTCAACTTCTTGATCATCGTCAGGGTTAGGGATCTCAACTGAGTTTGCAGAAGCACTAATGGGTTGCGTCCTGCTCAATGGATTGTAACCTTTGGCCACTGTGCCAAGGTTGGGCTTCTCAGTTACCAGAGTCGCATGATTAATGGCTTGGGTGTGGCTGGATGCATTGTCTCCTTCAGCCACTCTGCCAGCGTTGGGCTTCTCAGCTACCAGAGTTACTTGATCGTTATCAGTAGTGTCCTCCATGTTTGTGATTCCATCAGGCATTGCCTTTTTCACCAATGAAGATAGAACCTCTACGTCCGTGTTTTGGCTTCCGCACTGCTCGTGGCCAGAGCAGCTCAGTCCTGTTGCCGCATGATCTGTTTCCATGTGTTTCTCAGTATTATGCTGACTCTCTCTCGCCTTAGAGTTTTGTCTCAGAAAATTCATGATTCTTTCAGTGCTTTCCTGTGGCGGAGGGAACTTTTCTTGTGGCATCCATAAGTTTTCACTACTTCCTGTTATGAACAAATAAACAGGATAAGCAATTTAATTTTTAACTAAGAGAATTAAAAGAAAACATTATGTAAGAATCTCATCTCTGTCAGCACAGCAACATAGGGGCAGCAAAGCAAATTTTCCCTGCAATAGAAGAAGATTGAATATGAAGATATCGCTAACTCATGACTTACCACTGCTGGGAGCAGGATTGTGGACAGATGAAGTAAGAAGATCCTTTGTCACGAGAGGTCCGCTATCCTTGGAGATGACCTGTAAATGTAGCAATTCATCGGAATACAGAGCATAAAATAATTTGAGCTTTTTTTCTGTTCTGCAAATTAAGGTTCGCATGAATTGTGGCGCCAAGACTATAGAAAAGAAATGCGGGGTGCGTGTGTGTCGTGACCTGCTCCAAAAAAGAAGACCGTATGTTTTTCTCCTCATTGGTGTGTTTTGTGCAGAAAGAAGTAAGGGGCACAAGTGTATCAATAACACTAGTGCTGCTGGAATCTGATATTGTGATTATTGAGGAATTGAACTTCGAAGACGAGAAAGAGCACACACCTTAACCATGTTGTTCTTGGTTATATTAAGATAACACGCAGATCGTGAGGGGGAGAACACAGCAACCTGATAAAAAGCGCATGTGTTATTCATTCCCTTACTGTTGATAGCAACATTACACTTCAGCTTAAAGCAGCATTTCTCTGGACAACTACACCCCAAAAGTCCCATTTTGCTTTTCTAAATTTTGTAGTTTCTTTATATTCATAAATCATCATAATTCTAAAATTCACCGACTTAAACAGAAGATCATAACAAACCTTCTGCAGTACCAAAACTGCACCAACAGATATGCTCTTCCCAAAGTCTCCCTCAGAAAGGACTGTGTGGTGGATGCTAGCACCAATTGTACCTGTAGGATCCTGAAACCAAAGTTTAAGCCACATAGCTATGTCTCAGAGCATACGGTGAAAAAATTGACTCGAGCAGAACTTAGAGAGTACACAAAGAAGGGAAGAAGACGGCACTTTATCAGTATCCATGTCCATATAAGCTTACCTTCAGAGTAAGCATGAGATCACCAAGACCATTTGGTGTGCAAGATTTGATTATAGCAACAACCTAATTAACCAGCAACCACAGAAAATAACATGAATTTTTAAGCATTATAAATCCTAAATATGGCAAAAACATTAATAATAAAACATAAGGAAAAAAGAAGTGAAGATTAATCAGGTTCCGACAAAATAGAAATGGCAGTTTCACACTACAGCAACCAAAAGCAGATAAAAAAAGGAATTTTTTTTTAATAAGCACGCCTGGTCTTTGCTTTCCAGTAATTTCTCAGCAACCAAAACAGAAATTGGGAATGATTTCCATTTCTAAGATTTCTCCAAGAGAGCAAAGTCATTGAATCGACAATTGATTTAAAAAATTAATAATAAGAACAATGGAAATACCTGAGCCAATCTGTGAGATTCAATCCCCTTCCTGATAGAACCCAAGGTCGTCGGAAAGTGAACACCTTGTTGGGTAAGAAAATCGAGAGCGCAAAGCCAGGGATTGGTGGTGAAATCGGCATCGTGATCATCGCCAACCTCGACGACTCTCCTTACGAACTCTTGAGTCGGAATGGGCTCCTCCTCATCGCGGTCGTGGGGGTGGTGGCGGTGGGTTTGGGTCCTGCGCTGCATCGCGGCCTGTAGGGCTCTGGCGGGGCCCGGAATGAGGTTGGAAGAGGGCTTGGGGGGCTGAGGATGATTTGATTTGAGGGAATGGGAAGCAGAGCGCTTGCAAGGACGAAGACTAAGAGAGATGAGCTCTGATTCGTCGACGTCTAGTTGTTCCCAGGGTTCATGCTCATCCATATTCTCACTTCTCTGCTTCTTGTGAGTGAGCGCGGGAATCCGAGAGTGAACAGTAACACTACAGACAGAGTAGGTTATTATTATTAATATTATTATGGGTTGGGCTCGTTTTTGCTTAAGATTATTGGGCTCAGAACCTCAGGCCCAATTCATTATTGTTCTTCTTAAAAAAATTGACTTAGGTCCAACGAATATTTGATGCAACAAGGGCTTATAATGAGATGTTCTTAATAGTTATCTCATCAATGACAATGTTATTATTTGACGGTTGGATTGAACCATTAACATCCTCTCTCAATATAGCTCCCTTGTTATAGAAGCTCCCCGATAAAATTAAGACCCCATGTATGTCACATTCACGAATTATGTTATGTACGTCTAAGGATTTCATTAGCATTTGTCTCTCAGTTGATAAAGCAAAGAAATGAAATGATGGGTTGGAAAATGAGAACTTTTAGGGGTTTGGGGTGTATTCATTTTTTAAGAGACAAATCACATCACAACATGTGATCTAAAACAGAAAAAGTAGCGACCGTAATTTAATTATTGAAGACGTTGGATTGGATGGAATGGAAGAACAAAAGAAAGAACTCAACAGATAACAGTTTCAACTACTTGTAAGTTTTGTAACCATATTACATTTTCACAACTACTTGCAACCATAATTAGTTCTAAACTAGAATGTAATTAGTCAACTGGTTCACATATATGTAATTACAAAAAGATTTATACCAAAGTTTGCTGTTAAGTAATTAGTTAAGAAAAGTAGGGTGGACCCCACCGTCGAGGGAGACTAGACCAGTAAGCCGCCACCACGAAGGCGACCGAGCGACCGACCGTGACATATTATGTTTAAGGCAAGTCACGGAACGTGATTCACGTCACGGCCCTCACGTATTTGGTAGTCGATGTCCACAGGTTATCCATAATTAAATCTCGTCCATTGATCCTCGAACTGACAACCGGATCTTCCGGTCATCTCGTCCTCCCCTAACCAAAACGGTAAAAAACTTAAGACCTACCCTCACCCTCTTCCCTCTTCCCTCTTCCAGTCTCAATTATCCCATTTCCTTAATCCAATTAATTTGCCCTCTTCGATTTCTCTGTTTAATTCTCTCTCCCATCATTCCCCTCGTGACACCAGCAAACAAAACAGATCAAATCAAAATCAATTCACCGGCAAGGAAAACGACAAAAACAACAGAAGAAATTTCCTAGTACCAAATTGGTGGGACCCAGATTTCTGTTGCTCTTATTTCTCTGTAATTTTCTATGTTCATTATAATGTTATTATTTATTGTGGTATGTTTGTTTTTTGTTTAATTTGTAATTGACTTGGTTTGGCTAGGTGACAAAATAGAGTGCTTTAAAAGAGGGAGGGAGATCAGAGAAGAGAAGATGACGGACTCACCAAAGACACTAGCGAAAGGAGGTAGCAAGTCACTCATGGAGAACTTGCTCGGTCTTCTCCGAATCCGCGTCAAACGCGGTGTTAATCTCGCCGTTCGCGACGTCCGTAGCAGCGACCCCTACGTCGTCATCAAGATGGGTAAACAGGTATACTATGTCTCCTCGTCCTCGTCCTCCATCTTTTTCCTTCAATTTTGTGACTTCTCTGTTTATTTGGCTTTGTTTCTCAATCTGGGTTCCTTTTCCCCTTGTTTTTCCAACCAAAAGATTCTTCCTTTCCATATAGAATTGAACACTTCTGTTAGTCTGTCTGTCGTTTACCCTTTTCCAGTCCCAATTGTGTTTGGCTTGTCTGGAACTGGAAGGCCTCAGTTTTGGTTGAGGTGTTTAATCGGATCCTGCAAGCTTTGTACATAATATGATTCTAATAAACTTTTTACAATTTACTCTTACATCTTGGAGTCTTAGACTGATTTGACTTGTGCTCTGTTGCAGCTTGACCATTTTATTTTGTTTTTTGTTTCTTGCTTTATTATTTTCATTTCATTTCTGCAAATGATCCAATTGACAAGTATGTTCCTTTCTTCTAATTATGTATAAAAATTGAATCTTTGATGCAGAAACTTAAAACTCGTGTAATTAAAAAGGATGTTAACCCAGAGTGGAATGAAGATCTTACACTTTCTGTTACAGACCCCAGCATTCCAATCAAGCTGGTAAGTGCTTCTGCTATTGCCCCAACTTCTTTAGTAGGAACAAGTGCCCCTTTACATTCCTTTCCAATTGTATATACATGAATGGAACCATCATCTTCGGTCAATCCTATCTAGAGAGCTATATGATCTTTTGCAGTATCTCCCTAGCTACTCCTCTTTGATTCTCCTATTTGAATCATCTTGTTCTTTTGCACTATTGCATCAATATTTCTACTTTGACAAGGATTTGTTAGGGATTATTAGTGTGCTATTGCATCAAGTTTGACAGTCTTTGTTTATATGTGCCTGTAGACTGTGTATGACCATGACACATTCAGCAAGGATGACAAAATGGGAGATGGAGAATTTGGCATCGTACCTTATATAGAGGCATTGAAGGTGAACTTAGAAGGGGTCCCAAGTGGCACGATCGTCACGAGAATACAACCAAGCAGGGCAAACTGCCTAGCTGAGGAGAGCTCCATTCTCTGGAAGGATGGGAAGGTGGTCCAAGACATGTGCCTCAGACTGAGAAATGTGGAATGTGGTGAAGTGGAAATTCAGTTGCAATGGATTGACCTTCCTGGTTCCAAGGGCTTATCATGAGTGTGCCTCCTTAATTTGTCTGCTTCAATTGTGTCCGACATAATATAAATGGGCTGGTTGTGGTTGCAAAGGTTGTGCAACCTGAAATGGACAGACTGTCTTCATAGCTGGGTTGGTTTGTTGATAGGATATGTATAACAAATTGAGATTGTATGTACTTTATTTGACTGCTGGTATGCTTGTAGCTCATAACTAAATAGGGTGAAGAATTTTTGGGCTTCTGTTGTCAAAAACACTAAGTGAAGTGAGATGTGTGTGCCCTTTCATCTTTTGCTGGGTATATATCTCAAGTTGCAAGCTCATGTCTTAGAAATCTGCATAGCATATTTTTATGTACCTATGAATTTGCAGGAAAACGATATATAGTGCATTATAGTATCATGTTGGGGGGCTGGTTCCTGCTGTCCTCTGTTCATTGAACAATTTCACGAAGAGAGTGTGAATTTCAGGGTACATATGGATCGAGTGGCATTTTCGGTGAAACTTTGATCGATGGGCAGCGTTTGAATTGCCTATTCTTCTTAAAAAGCTCACATAATATACTAACGTGGATACCCTAGAAAGAAGTTACGAGCCAGCAGCATGCATGGCTGGGAACCAAAGACCAACAAGGTCAGCAGCTGATTGCTGGTATATTATATATGTGATCAGAGTCCAACACTTCATCAATTCATTGCTTTTTAATAAATCCCCTGCTTCAGAAAATTTAAAGGCTCAAAGATGTTTCTGAGTTGTGACCAAAGAAAACGAAAAGAAACGATTGGCATAAAAAAAGACGAGAAGAAACGATTGGAAGGGAAGACCAGGCCCTAAGTCCAACCCAATACTTATTGGGCAGGCTTCTTCTTATAGCCCGCCCGCCCTTTTATATTTCAGGCACGGCCTGGCCTAAAGTACGTAGTAGAAGAACACAACACAACAGGCTCGTTTTCACCCCTAAACCCTATATAGCTCTCCATGAACACAACTGGGAGAAAGACTTTCATAAAGTAGGGATAGTATTATTTCGTTATTTCGGCCAATAACGCATGTGATAAACTTACTTGAAATAGCATTATCATTTGCAAAGTAGTATTATTCCCATTGCAACTAAGTTTTCCCCTACATTGTTAGGTCTATAATTTACGTTGGCTTACTTGCAGGGATGGGTTAAATTTACCTTTCGGCCTTACATGCATTGTGACATCACTCTCACTCACTGCGGAAAGGAAAAGGGTACGACATTGGGAATTGGTCTAAATAAGTATTACTGACATAAATAAATGCATATGTACAGTATATCGGTTTTGACTCGATTGGTAACCTAGTGGTGGACTAGACTAGGAAACTGCTAATTATGCCACACTTATAGCAAGATTCAGTATTTGATGCGTTGCGTTGGGTTGGGTTGTGTTGGGTTGGGTTTAAATAGAGTTAAAGAGTCTAGCCGCACGGCTATACTCTTTAAATTTTATATTTAGATAATGCTATTAATGGCCAATAGCGCCTAAGCGCCCGAATATTCTCTTTAAATAGTATAGCCGGTCGGCCATAGCATTTGAAAAAATTTAATACAAATTTATAAATAAACTCAATCCTATACATGTATTTATAAAAAAAACCCAAACACTATTTAAACATAGAAACACACCCAAAATCAACAATTGTATATTTTTTGGGTGTGTATAAATGGGTTTTGAGTGTGTGTAATGATGGGTTTTGGGTGTGTTTATAAAGTGTTTTGGGTGTTGGGTTTTTTTATAATTTCAGCCCCCATTTTTGGTGTTTTAGTGAAACTCCCAAAATTTAACCGGAGTATAGCCGCACGGCTATACTATATATTTTTTAAATTAACAAAAAACACAAAGGACCCACCTAGTGATTAGGAGTCCGAATCTTCTCTTTTTCCCAGCGTAATTCCAAGGCCTCTTTCCATCTACAAATCTATCTTCAATCTGAGAATTCATTTTTTTGCTTGTTTTTTCCGTTTGAATGTTTGCCTTTGATTTACCTCGCTCTCTGAAGTGCTACTAAATTATGCTACTACACACATAATTTGTCGTAGAGAACTGCATTCATAGTTAGGGTGGTCTTGGTAATTGCTTCACTTTTCAAACAACATTTTACATGAAGAATACTACCATCTCTTACTATTATACCCGTAAATCTTTGTTTGAAATTGTTGTTATGGTTGGCAAAGAGATTGCAAAATCACCATCTTCTATTTTTGTAGTTAGTAAAGTACAAATAAAATACATACGTGTTTTATTGGGCAAAATTTTGGGAAGTTACAATTGAAAAGTTTGGCCACTATATAATATTTTAATATCATTTTTAATTTTTTTAATAT